GATACTTAATAAATGTGTGGATGGATTTATTAAATGAATGCAAGTGTTGAATTTCTAGTAGAGCTGGGATTTTGATTGAGACATGATAATTACTCAAAGGCCTCGCAGCCACTAGAACAGAAGGTCCTTGAGTTAAGATACAATTTTGGTTTTGTTTCTATATGCAAAATCCTAATATGACCTACATCCCTGGAAAATGGAAGGTTAATACATTTAAGAAATACTGGTTGAGTTAATGAATGAAATGATATGTGATTAGGGCATAGAATGACAAAGTCTTCCTTTTCATATTCTTCTGGGTTATCTAGTGATCAATACTGTTTTCTCAACAGCTTTACCAAGGTATGGACCACAGTACTTCTGAAACACCCACTCTTCTCAATGTAGCATAGAGGAGATCCTTTGAAACTATGGAGAAGATGAATCACACTGTGACTGAGTTCATCCTAGTGGGTTTTTCCCAGGATCCCATGATGCAGCTGGTGCTCTTTGTCCTTTTCCTTGTGTCACAGTGACAGTGACAGTGGTAGGGAACATTACTCTGACAATATTAATCTGTACAGACTCCTAGCTGCACACCCCCATGTATTTCGTCATTGAGAATATATCTTTTCTGGATCTCTGGTATTCGTCTGTTTACACTCCTAACAACATAGTGACCTGTGTCTCTGAGGAGAAGATAATATCCTTTCCTGGTTGCTTGGCTCAATTCTTCTTTTCAGTTGGGTTAGGATATAGTGAATGTTACTTATTGACTGCAATAGCTTATGATTGTTACATGGCCATCTCTAACCCATTGCTCTATGCTCAGGCCATGTCTTCAAGGCTATGCGTGGGTCTTATAACAGCTTCATGTCTTGGAGGATTCATAAACTCCACTATCATCACAAGTGAAACATTCACCTTGACTTTCTGTGGGGATAATGTCATTAATGACTTCTTCAGTGACCTACCACCCCTGGTGAAGCTGGAATGTGATGTGAAGGCCAGTTACCACATTGTGTTCTGTATCCTTTTGGCTTACAATGTCCTCACACTCATTGTTTTCATTCTGACCTCCTACCTTTGCCTCATTGCTGCCATTTTAAGAATTCGCTCCACTCAGGGTCAACTCAAAGCATTCTCTACTTGCTCCTCTCACTTAATCTCTGTTACATGGTACTATGGCTCCATTCTATACATTGACACTCAATAACCTGTGAGCAATGGAGTGACTTCCTTATCAGCTATGCCATATTCACAAGTGAACATGGTGAAGAGAATGTTTTGTAGTTACTACTCAAAGTTTGACCCTACTCTTCACAGGAGCCCAGATAGTTAAAAATGACCTTTTGGGGGGTATATTTTATTACAACTATTTTAAGTTTGTACCCAATATCCTCTGGTTGTGTCTACCTCCCTACTGAGGTACAGAGAGAGAATACCCTGTTGTGAGGCAGGGCCGTATACTTGCACTTTAGTTTTTGATGTATCTTCTCATTAAATATCACTTCATAAAAGCTAATTGATATTAATCAGTCAAATCAACATTGGGACAGTAATTACTTATTAAATGATATTGAAAAGAAAATAACTAGGTGATTGATATAAAGGAAAGTATACCAGATGGGGGAATCATCATGTGTGATGGTACTAGAAAGATACCCTAACCTCTAGCATTTATCCTAGAACAACAATGGGAAAGAGAATTATCCTTTATCCAGAGATCCAACCTGCTAATCCGAGTTTGAATTCTTAGAGTAGTCCCATAGCCTATCTGTATTATGTTTACATCTACTAACAGGTTTAATCTGCTTGTTTGCTTATGATTGATAGACCTAAGATTGAACACTGAGAGGATCTAATTGTTATACTTACTTTTCTGAGTACCGGTGCCCTTATGAGGATCTGTTAGTCCATGACATGCAACTTTAAAATACCATTAATTAGACTCAAGGCCTAACTAGACAACAGAAATCTAATTTTCCCCATAATCAGGATTATCAAATACCTTCATGCTATGTTAAGAGTCATTAATTAAGGGAATGGGATTGTAAATAAGGGAATATAGATTATAGTTTTGCCATTGCATATGCATCTACATTGTGGACCCATATAGGAATGCCCAAGTTCTCTTTAAATGTCCTTTGACCACCCTTCAAATACTTTAAAACAGAATTTATGTCTCCCTCAACCCCAAGTATTCTTTTCTCTAGGTTGAACATTCCCACCTCTTTCAAGCAATCCTCTTAAGAACTTCTTTCCTTCCTTCTTTCCTTCTTGTCTTCCACTGGATGTTTTCTTGCTTATCAATGTCCTTATCAACCTATTGTGAGCAGAACTGAACACAATTCTCCAACTGAGGTGTGATGAGTACAGAATACAAGGACATATTCCACTCCTTATTCTTAAATCTATGCCTCTATATTATACTAGGCTTTCATTTTGTAAATGTTTTTTATTTCTGTCTGACAGGTAGAAGGACTCAAAAGGTATTTGCATGTTTGCTTTCCTCTCTCCTTCCTTCCTTCCTTCTTTTTCTCTTTGTCTTACCTTTCTCTCCTACCTCCCTTTTCTCTTCTCTTTTTCCACTTGCCTTTTAAAGTATTTTAACACTCTCTAGCAAAAATAGTCCAACATAACTCAAGAAATAGTACCTTTATAGTGTCATTAAAAACATATCAGTGAACAACACTATTGGAGTATTATGCCAGAAAGACCTTTATTCCAAGACATATAACTATTAGAGTAGCTACTGCATAATCCGACACAGATTGGGACATATACTGATGTCAAGAAGTTCAAAAAGTATTCCCTCCCACCCCATCCTTATTATTTTTGTACAAAGGGTTCTAAAGAAGGGTGCAATGAAGAAATAGAGCTATGGATGTGGGGAGTTTGGTGAGAGGTCCCCTACACACAATTAATACAGCCAATAGAATATATTTTAATATACTAAGGTACACAATTTTTAAAATTTTATTCCAATCCATACTGTTATTGTGGACAGGACAAAGTAACATGTTTACTCTAAAATTAACCTTATAAAGGAGGACAAAGAAATTGTTTCTTTTTCCTTTGAAATCATTGGTGCAATTTATCATGATGCCTTACAGAGAAAACTAGACTAAGGGTAAGCTCAACTATAGGAAACTTAAATTAAAAATAACAATAACAACAATACAATTTATATACCACTTTAAGATTTTCACAGAGCTATGCAAATATTGAAGCAGCTAGATTGATCAGTGGGTAGAGCACTGGGCCTGGAGTCAGGAAGACCTGACTTAAAAATCAGTCTGAGACACTTACTAGCTGCGTGACATTGGTCAATTCACTTAATTTCTCTTTGCCTTAATTCACTGGAAAAAGAAATGGTAAACCAAGATGATATTTTTGCTAAGAAAACCCCAGGGACAGTATGATCCATTGTCAAGAAGAGTTGGACGTGACTAAAAGACTTAAAAACAACAATGCAAATATCTCATTTTATTCTCAAAATAATTCTGGGGCATAGATGCTATCATTATCCCCATTTTACAAGTGGGACAACTTAGGCAGACAGAAGTGAAGTGACTCAACCAGGGTCACATAGCAAGTAAGTGTATGAGACAGATGTGAACTGGGGTCTGTCCTGACTCCACATCCAGCATTCTTTCTACTGTGCTACCTAGTTGCCCTTGAAATTCCACCTTTAAAATGAAGCTAATTCTATAATGGATTCATTCATTGCAATAGAGAAAAATATAAAGTCACATTCATTTTACCTTCACAAGTTTTGTCTTCCCTGAAGGTACTTCCATTTCAAAATGAACCATCTACCTCTGTTCCTAATATTCTCAATATTCTCTCTCTCTCTCTCTCTCTCTCTCTCTCTCTCTCTCTCCTCATGAACCTTAGTCCCCTCAATTTCCCTTCTGTCCATGTGTCTTCTCTGACCATGATAAGAATGATTTACAAGTAGGATCTATGAAAAGTTCCTAATATAAGTTCCTAATGAAACAAGTAGTTATTGGGCTAATGTTCATTTTGATTTTAAAACAATTGGAAAATATTTGTGAGCTAATATTTACCCAGCAAGATCAATTTACATTTTAATTTCATGTGATAACAATAAGGATTGGAACTTCATTTTTATTATTTTAGGGAACTGCTTCTTCAGGATATTTCCTCTTGTTGTTCGTTCTTGAAGAGGACCATGGCATCAGGGAGGTGATGCCATAACTTGCAAGTGAATTGGATTTAAGTGAGAGGGGGCTATGCAAGGTCACCAGGTCCATTTTCTCCTCCAGAGTCATCTGGGTCCAGTGGGAAGATACAGATCAGGACAACTGGAGATGCCCAGGATACAGTGGGAGATCTCGACCTTTTTAAGCTAAGAACTTCCCTTTACCTTTGCAGGATACTTTTTTTAATTTATGGTCTTACAGAGTTTCCAAGAGCACTCAGAGGCTAAGCTAATTGTCAGGTTAGCATAGCCAGAAAGATCTTTCTTCATGTGAATAGCTGGGCACAATCTGCCATACCACAGTGCTGCCTTGGCCAGTATGGAGTTCAGGGTGCTCATGCATTTTTCAATATGTAAAAAGAAGAAAACATCAAGAAGAGGAGTTTCAGAAACATTATGCTATATCTAAACTTTACTACTACTTTAATAATTACTTTTTGAATTGAACTGAATTAGATTATTAAGTTTTGAAACACATGTGAACTTCAAAATTTATTTCAACATCCCATTTCATAGATAAAGAAACTGAGGCTAATACAGTTCTGTTCCTTGCCCTAGATTGGTCAGGGAGCTGATGGTAGTGTACAGAGTAGAGCTCTATTCCCTTGTCTTCTAGCAAATGATTGTTCACTTGAAACTTTGCTGCTTCTTTACCTTCGTAACCATGTCCCACACTGATATAATGAACCATCACATTTGAATTAATTTCAACAAGAATACACGGATAACACACATGATTTATTTATCCCCAATATTATCAGGATGATAAAAATAGCTTGGCTATGAATAACAATCATCTTGGTACTTTGATGCTCTGTATTGCTTTCCTGAAGGCCTCTTTCACATCCTTGTTCCTAAAGCTATAGATCATGGGATTGAGCAAGGGATTCACCACTGTGTAGAACAGGGAAGCCCACTTGTCCTTCTCCAGGGAATAGGTGGAGCTGGGTCTTGAGTACATGAAGAGGAGGGACCCATAGAAGAGCATGACAGAGATCATGTGGGAGGCACAGGTGGAGAAAGCCTTCCACCTCCCTGAGGCTGAGTGGATCCGAAGGATGGCCAGGAGGATGTTGAAGTAGGACATCAGGATGGCTAGTATGCTAGACAAAACTGTGAAACCCACCATTCCCAGGAGTACTTTCTCATAGACCTGTGTGTCAGTGCAGGACTTCTTCACCAGGGGGGGTGCATCACAGAAGAAGTGGTCAATGATATTTTTCCCACAAAATTTCAGGCGAAATGTGTTAGCAGTGTGGGCTGTGGCATTCAAGAACCCACCTATGTAGGACCCAGCCACCAGCCCAACACAGAGAGACCTGGACATTGCAGCTGAATAGAGAAGGGGGTTGCAGACTGCTGCATGACGGTCATAGGCCATAGCAGCAAGGAGGTAACACTCAGTGTAGGCCACAGCAGCGGAAAAGAAAAATTGGGCACCACAGCCTGCTAAGGATATACGCTTGTCCTCTGAAATACAGGTGGCCAGGATTTTGGGGGTGTACACAGATGTATACCAGAAATCTAAGAATGACAGACTCCCAATGAAAAAATACATCGGGGTATGCAAACGGGAGTCAATCCTGATTAAGATAACTAGAGTCATGTTGCCTGCTAATGTTACCAAATAAAGAGCCAAAAAAGCTCCAAAGAAGACCAGTTGCATCTGGGGGTCAGCTGAGAAGCCAAGTAAGATGAATTCAGTCAAGGTGGTCTGATTCCCCACTTCCACAGACATCGTGGTGGCAACCTGATGGAACCCAAGAAGCATCAAAGAGAGATATAGACTGTATTAATTCATACGATTTAGATCTGGAATGACCCCAGGGAGGAGAGGGATGACTCAGAGGATAGTGTTTTATGCTAGGGGCTAGGAATACTTGAATTCACATTCTGCTGAGATGCTTATCATTTGTGTGACTCTGGGAACATCACTGAACCTCTATGTCCCTCAAGCTCCTCATCTGTAAAAAGGGTATTACAATAGCACCTATCTGACAGGATTACTATGAGGTCCAAATGAGATGATGCATGTAAAGTGCTCTGTAAAAAGTAAAGCAATATATAAATGCCTATCTAGATACTATCTAGTCTTTCCTCATCATTTCATGGAGGAGGAGCCTGAACATCCTAAAATGTCAGACCTTGAAGAGACCTTAGAATATAGAACATAGAATATTAGAACGAGATATGGAATATATAGTGTCTGAATTAGAACAGGCTTTAGAGTATAATATAGAATGTCAGCATTATGCAAGAACTTGGAGATTATGCGCTCAAGCTTTCTCATTTTATAGACAATAGGATTATGTTTGAAGAGCTAGAAAGGCCCTCACAGGACTCTTCATTCCTTTCTTTTTTTTTTTTGTAATTTTTTTTCCAAATTTAAACTTACATACAAAATGAGGAAAGGAAACAAACCTAAATACTAAAATAATACAAAATAAGAAAGAAGAAAGCATTGATATGTGCATATCAGAACATGAGAAAGGATTCAAAATATACAGAAACAAATTTCCATTTCAAGAAAGCCTATATAATAAATACGAAACTTATATTGAAATTTGTCCATCTTTTCTTTGCTTCCTTGTAAGTTTTCTTTTGTTCTCTGGTATGTACTTCTTACTTTGTTCTTTTTTCCCTTTTCTTCCTCCCTCTCTGAAGGCTACAACTAAATATTTATATATGTATATGCATATATGTGTACACATGTATATGTATACATAATGTATGTGTGTATATAACATATATGTATATACATATATGTTTATGTGCATATGCAATACACATATACATACATGAATACAAGCAAATGCAAATATTTCCCCACAAGTATGCATATAACAATACACATATGCATACATGTATACATATACACACAAATATTCATACATACATACACTTCTTACACATACATCTACTTAGATATTGATGTTCATATGTAGATATATACATTCATATGCATCTATGTAAGACCTTACTAATCTTATTTATTCTCTCTTTCTCTGAGGGTGGATAACTTCTTCCTCCCTAAGTCCAAGTCTTTCCATATTTTTCCAAGTCTAACAAATCATCGTTTCCTACACCACAACAATATTCTCATCTTATACTGTCTAGTTGTTTTAAATGCTCCAAAACAACATTGATAAATATGGCTGACGCAGTGCAGTTTCCCTACTTTTCTATTTTGATTAAATCTATGTTAGCCTTGACTTTGAGATCATCATTACCACCCCAGGCCCTTTTTCTCTAACAAATTCTACTCCTGGTCTTTATTCCATGTTTGTACATATCTTTTATTTCCTATCCCTCCTGACTCCTCTACTTTACTTCTACCCACTACCTTGCCATCCCATTATCCCATTAACTAACCAACCTCCCCCCCCTTAGCATCCCTTCTTATTCTCCCATTCCCATTAATTTAAACACCCTTCTATACCCTACCTTTAACCTATTCCCTCACTTTCTCATCTAAAGATCCCTCCCTTATCGTCTCCCCTCCTATTATATTATTCTTTTATTTCTTTCTGAATTTAGATTTTTATAATTTTCTACATATACATGTATTGTACCATCTTGAGTCCATTCCCGATGAAAATAGGCTTCCTTGAGAACTACCAGCTCTCCTCTGCCAGCTAACTCTGTCTCAGTTCTTCCTGTCACACATCATTAGTGTAAGATGATTACTCTTTTATCTCTTCCTAAACAGTTTTACTTATTAAAATCATATCATACTCAAGTCTATTCCAATCTTTTTTCTTTTATATATCTTTTCTCCATATCAGTTGTTTTTTCTTAGGAGATATTTCACATTCTCTTCCATTTTTATTCTTTATATTTTCTTTTATTGTTTCTTGATCTCTTATAAGTACACTGGTGTCCTCTTGCCCAATTCTGATTTTCAAGGAGTTGTTTTCTGCCTCTCTTCTTTAAGATGCTAGATCTCCTTTTCTAATAGGTTGCTTTTTTCATATCTTTCTAAGTTTTTCCTTGATTGTTCTTACTTATTTTTTAGTTTTTTCTCAACCTCTCTCATTTGATTTTTAAATTTTTTTTAAAGGATTTCTTCATTTCTAACTTTCTCATTTCATAGATGA